CCCTGCCCTCCTCCTGTACACCTGCTACTCCCCTGGACTCCTGCTGTATGCCTGTTACTCCCCTGAGCTCCTTCTGTATACCTGCTACTCCCCTGGACTCCTGCTGTATGCCTGTTACTCCCCTGAGCTCCTTCTGTATACCTGCTACTCCCCTGGACTCCTGCTGTATGCCTGTTACTCCCCTGAGCTCCTTCTGTATTCCTGCTACTCCCCTGCACTCCTGCTGTATGCCTGTTACTCCCCTGAGCTCCTTCTGTATACCTGTTACTCCCCTGCGCTCCTTCAGTACACCAGCTGCTCCCCTGCACTCCTGTACACCTGCTACTCCCCTGCAATCCACCTGTATGCCTGTTACTCCCCTGCTCTCCTGCTGTATGCCAGCTACTCCCCTGATCTCCTGCTCTATGCCAGCTACTCCCCTGATCTCCTGCTCTATGCCAGCTACTCCCCTGATCTCCTGCTCTATGCCTGCTACTCCCCTGATCTCCTACTCTACGCCTGTTACTCCCCTGCTCTCCCGCTCTACGCTTGTTACTCCCCTGATCTCCCGCTCTACGCCTGTTACTCCCCTGCTCTCCCGCTCTACGCCTGCTACTCCCCCGCCTTCTCCCCAGAACCAGGCTCCTGTGTGCTTGGGAGCACAGAGTAACACTTTGGCAAGCGCTCTACTAGCCGACTCTCCAGCGTCTCAAAAATGGCGCGGGGGTCCTGGTCGGCGTTGACGTGCACGGCATCAGGGTACATGGCTTTCAGGGCTGGGACTTGTACCGAATAGCAGCTCAGCCGGTTCAGCAAGCGGGCCTGAGAGTCGCGGGGGTTCTGACAGAGCCGGGCCTGCACCTCCGGGCCAGGGGGCGGCTTAAACAGCGAGTGGTACCTACAGGGAGCGCGAGGTCCAGGACAAAAAGCATAAAATAAAATGACGAGCAAGGAACCCCCAGACATTCAGGTACAGTGAAGTGCTGCTGCTTTACCTCTCGCCTGTGACATGATCAACGGCCCTCAAGGTGACGACCTCCTTTACAGCGTCGTCAGGCATCTCCAGGAAGAAAACCCTGCAGAGGAGGAGCACCAGAAGAATCAGTCGGAGGATTTCTGACTACACCACACTGATACTTCCAGGATGCATGAAGCAGCCTATGTTACTGCTAAGGTCAGTGTTTCCCAATCCGGTCCTTGGGGACCCACAGACAGTCCATGTTTTTGCTCCCCCCCCCCAGCACCCTACCCGGAGCAAAAACATGGACCGACTGAAGGGTCCCAAAGGACCGGATTGGGAAAAACAGGCATATTGATTTCAGGGAAGCGGATGACAGACAACCAGTAGTAGTGAGGTGGTTAGGTTTACGCTGTATTATGGGAATTATTTGAAAATTCCCCAACTTCTCTGCAAATTTTATTGGCAAATACTGGAATACCGTGGTATAATGTCTAGAAGCTATGATGGCATTAAAAATTAGATACTGTCCAAGCTTAATGCTGGCTGGGGTGGTGTTGAGCAGGACCATGGCAGTAAAACTCCTTGCCAGGTAATTTTAACGATAGATTTCTGAGATATTGTGCATCATTTGCGGGTGTCAGGGAGCTGCTGTCAATTTGTGGGAGAGGCGGAATGTCTGCGAAGCTGAAGCCAGGATCTTGTCTCATTTTAGCTCCCCTGGATGCTCTCAAGACTAAGACATCATTCCGCCATGTAGAAAAGGGTCCTGCAACATTCAGCCTGAAGCACACGTTTATGACAACGGGAGAAATGTCAGGCCAGAAGAAAGCAGCGTCCAGCGATCACTACGGCCTAATTCTTCCGGCTGATTCCATCAGCAACTGCTTCATTAAACGGCCCCAAATCATGCTTCTACCCATCTCTGCTAATTAGATCAAATCACCTGGGATCAGATATGAGATATATAATTTATATAAGACGAATCAGGCAGGCCCTACAAATTTAGCAGCTTGATGGCTCTATCAGACTGGGATCTTGTTGCCTCCATACTCAAGCTCACAAGCAGGAATTCCATAACTTCTTGCACACATCAGAAGAAACATACCAGTCTTCTAGGTTTTGCTTTTCCCTTCAGGTAGAACATGTCCAAATCGGTGTGAATCTGCTTTAATAATGACAGCGTTAAACACTGGATGTGTCTCAGCAGTGCGGGAATACCTCCGCTTTTCTGAAAATCTTTCATATGACACTTCTGATATCTTTTTATTCCTCTCTTCCACGTGGATGAGATACGGCGAAGACAGAGATGATGTGCGTCTCCATTCTGTATTTCAGCTGCATGAAAGGAAGATCCTCTTCACTTCTAGCTTAACGTGAATATGTTAAGACACTGGCATGTTCTTGGCGTATGTACTTAGTGTAAGTAGTATATCTTCAGCAATGTACACTGCTAATGGCGGAAAATCACAAGGTGAGCTGCAGTAATACAGGTAAGAGTTTAAAAAAAGCAGTTGCTGGAGACGGATGAGGAAGCAATAAAGGTCCTCGCTGAAGGACTGCGGATCCTTGTAGGAAAGTGCTCCTCACTGTGATGCTGTCCTCACAACTCACTGATGCATGGGCTATCTGGACCACGCTCAACACACGGCCTCCCGAACATGCTGCAAACTTCACAGGGGTTTCAAAGTCAAAGCCCCCGTGAAAGGTGAGCCCTGCACTGCAACTGGCACGTTACCGATGGCTTTCACCTTTATATTACAAAACTGCATCCTGTACTGAGACATTGAACTTGGGGGGGGTGGGATGTTCCCCTCATATTTATCTCATCTGTTAGGATGCCAGAAACACTTTAATGATGGTTGATGGATTCCTGAGGACTGCGGTAGGGGATTGTCTGACTGAGGTAGGTCTGGGAAGACGTCGGACGAATGCACTGTAATATTTATTTACAACAGTTACAAAATCATCAACAGTTACACCCGAATATTTACAATAATGTAAATGTACCCTGTCACAGAGTGCAAAGTGAATGGAACTCTTGTGGGTTTATTTGTCTTAAAGTTAAGGTTTTTATTTGTGTTTTTAGGTAACCTGGTAACTGCAGTGTGAGAATATGTAATTATTTCAAGAGAAACAGTTTCCTGAAATTTTTATGAATATTTGTCTTGAAAAAATAAATAACTACTGTGCAAAGCTATTAGAATTAATATTTATGCCATATTATGAAATATTCATAAACCTAATAGAAAGAAAATGATTTGCGATGAGATGGTGTGTTGGCTGTGCTGTGTGCTGTATGTTATAGCCGGGGGTTGGGGTGGCTTAAAAGGAATTCATTTACAGTGGATGCTTTTACCAAGTCGATTTGTGCTAACGTGTGATTATCTCTCAGGCTTCTGTACCACTGGCACTGCTAACCATGATCCTATACATCTCTACTGTACCTGCAGTGTCCTGCACCACTGCCAGTACTAAGACAGATCCCGGTTCCTTTACCACTGACACGGCTGATTGTGATCCTTTGTCTCACCTGTACCTGCAGTGTCCTGTACGACTGATGGTACTGACACAGATCACTGTCCTGCACCACTGACAGAGCTGACACTAGCAAATGACACAGTATACAGGGGAGATGGGGCATGTGTGTACGATATGGATGGCGGGGGGCACGGACTTGAATGCATTGTGCCAAAGTGACTTCTTCCCCATTCTTTGGGCTGTCCCTCCTTAGTGAAGATGATGTGACTGCCCGCATTCGCCTGAAACCCCTTCCTTGCTCACCACAACCATCCAGCTCCCTCTACTCCTGTTCCCTCCTGTTCCATCTACCCAAATTAAGAAATTAATGAGGGATAGATTCTTTACAGATGGCCCCTGCAATGTTTACCACTGATTAAATTATAATTCGGGCCCTGTTGTATTATTTATAAGCCAATTAGAGGAAGTGTTGCTTGATTTGATGGGGAGCGGACACACAAAATGCATTTAACTAATAGAGAGCGGGAGAGTACTGAGCAAGCAGACGGGGGTGGCGTAAGAGGGCCGAACCTGGCGATTGCCCGTAACTCTCTAGGATTACGTGGCTAATTGCCCTGCTTTATCTGCCTGTCACGGACTTCCATGCATATTTCATTGTTCCCAAAGACTTTGATTGTTTGCACTCGTGTTGCGGCTGTAACAAGCAGAAGAGCAGCCAAACTGGAGTGTAGTTAAAGACGGGCAGCAGGCAGGGTGGGGTGATAAGGGGTGGGGGCGCAGCTTTCAGAGGGCTGCACATATATCAGTCACCCCTTATTAAAGCAAGGTCATGCGGACAACAGGCTAAACGCTGCATGATGTCCTGTTTTTTTGCACACCAATTAAATGCAATGAAATACATCTGGTCATTTCACTCAATTAGGAGATAATGACAATATTATGGTTTGAATACTGCGACAATTATAATCAATAACAGTAAAAAGAGGACTTAAATGTTTTTCTTTTTTTTAAACCTCATTAAATTCTGGGAACATAGTGTCAAACTGGTGAAAGATACCATTCTACCAAGACCATTCTTATTAACATACACAAATGAGGTGCCTCTAACTGAGAAACGTGACATTTGCACTTAAATTTAGAACTTGGAAGTTTATATACTCTATAAACTTTAATTATGTAGCTCATTCAGCCTGAAACTCAGAAATTCAGTAGAAAAACATGTGATACAAGCTGGTGACCTTCAGCGTGACCTTTCCCACCGATACGCAGAGGGCAAAAGTTTATGAACTTCTCTGAAGACCAGCAGCTCTATGAAGATGTCTGCCTGCTTTACCTGTGTTCTGTGTTGTATGAGTATACTGTAGCTTCTCTGGTTTTTAATCTCCGCATTGTGTGAGTTGTCTGACTTCTATCGTTAAGTAGAAGCCAAGGCGACTGCGGCCTCTCCGCTTACATTAGCGAGGACCGTGAGTGGCAGCTCTCAAGGGCAGGGGCCAGTCCAGCGGAAACGGCAGGACAGTATCTGCAAGTGATTGATCAGCTTTTGAAAGCCGATCGGACAGTTATGCAAAGGAGGAAACTGGAGCGATTGCATCCTTAATTATCTGATGAGGGAAGTTTATCTGAAGGGTCTGTTTTCCTTTTTGTTTATTTTTCTTTCACAAGAATCAGGTGGCGGCTTTTACATAACAAAGCACCGAAGAGTGTCGTGTATTTAGTTTACCTGAAACTACCTTCATGGGTTTCAGTCTGTGTTTGGAGCCCGGCTCCTAAAATGACACACTGGGCTTCTCCACAAAACCCTGCCAACTGCCCTACAGCAGTGACAGGAAGTCACAGCGCCCCTGCTGGTGATAAGGACACGGGGCGAGCCTCCGTACAGCATGCAGGAGAGAGCGAGGGAGAGACGTGAGGGGCCAGAGGTCCCGCTCTTGCCCTGATACAGCTGCTGCTTTTCAAGACAAATGAGCTGCTACAATAAGCTCATCTCAAGCATCTCGAGTCAAAAAAAATATTCACCAGATTCCAGCTTATGCTGTTCTTCTGGAACATCTGCTTCTTGCTGAACTTGTTACACATTAATAACAAGCCCTGCTCAATTGGGCTCCCGCCTGCCAGCTAGCAGAAATATGAACGTCTCAGCTCAACCACTCAAAGCACAAAGTCTGCACTTCCACAAGCTCTTTGGTCCCTAACTGCCACGGGCGCGTTTAAGGTGAGTACAACCTACAGGCGCTTGGCTTTCGGATTCCGATGCCGGTGGCGGGTGCGCGGTTCAGGATACGCGGTTCAGGATACGCGCTGGTTAGAGGAGCCCTTCTAGGAAATGAGGCGAGGGATCCTGGTGCCTGGTAGCGTGTGCCAGCTCTCCGTGGCGACCTTCGGAGAGGCACCCCATTAAAAGCCAATGCGCTGGCACGTTACACCATCACTGACTGACTTATTTATCAATTTTATAGCCCAAGTAACTAGATAGCTGTTAATTAATAAAGCTGTCAGGTAGACTGTGCCACTCGCCCATCGGCATCCCATCAGTAATATTATCTCCTCATTCTATCACACTAGGTCCAAACATGGCCCTCTGGCTCAATTAAGATAATGTTATGCAAATGGGGTCTCCTGCCATTAGCTTTAGCGCCAGAGGCTCTTTGTGGAGTAATTGAGCTTTTGCGGATGGCAATGTAAAAGGCCACTCTTGCTATTAACCAACATTTCTAAATGCTGTTAATATCAGAGGGCGAGGTGCCAGCGGGGGAGGGGGGGGGGGGGGTGATCCAAACGCTGAAGCCCCCCCAGGATTAACATAATGTTGTATCTACGATACAAATAACCCTGAGATACAGGTAAACATCCAGCCAACCTGTAAGTAGGGAATGATCTGAGCAGATCCCAAAGAGAACAATAATTAGGGATTAAAATATGGGAAAAATCTAATCAAATCGGAATTTCTGCTCAACTTGGCCAATGAAACCTATTCTGAGAACTTCCCCTCGGAGTTCATCTTAGGATTCATTTGGAAAGTTCTAGGTGCAGGTTTTATGGGATGGAGAAAAAAAAAAACCTGCAAGCGAGCGCTGAGATTTTTCTCTGCCCTCCGTCGCTGGCAGCGTGGCAGGACAGATGCCTCCGCGTTTCCTTCCCCGTGCTCCTCATCGATGACAGACTGCTCTGTGCCATTAGGGCGGAGAAGCTGAGCCACTCCTGAAGAGAGACCTGACCTGAAAACCTTCAATATTAATGTGCTCCCGCTACACACACTCGCAGCCAGATGGTCCTATTGATTTCCCTCAATCTTATAATGGGAGAGCTATTTGAAAAAAATAAATCTTGCTACAGAGGCACAGCATTTACGTATAACTGTATTTTGATAGAAATGATTGTGTGTGTTTTTATTTCAATTATTATGTGGAAAGGTATAGAACTGCGGCCTCACACATTAATCATTTTATTCACAGGGAGGCCGCTTCCACAATTAGCTAACTCTAAATAAAAAAGGCACTGTACATTCTTCACTTTCTCTGTTTTCCTGTCTTGTTTTACCATAATCACCAGTTTCTCTGTGTCTAGACACACATCTTGGACACCTTTACTGAACAGCCAGCTTGTGTTTACATATTGTGTGGTGTGATATTCATATAATATAAGCCCCAGTTAAGCCATGCATTAATCTGCTTCTTTATCTGACTCAAACGACGTATTCATGCTAGAGGCACGCCATTTAACTGAGGAATGAAGTTTCTGAGAAAATAATAAAGACGAGATACCCAATTCAAGAGTAGGGTCAAATTTTGATGACTTTTGCAATATTACATAAGTCTTCATCAGATCAGCTGATTTGCCTTGTTACTTGGAATGCAGCGTTCAGTACACCAATAACCGTTACGGTTGTTTAAGAGTAAAACTTGCCAATGTAATTTAGTAAATGTTATTTAAGTTATGAAAGGAAGGAGCTATAGAAGGATCAACAGCCAGAGGGCTCATTCCTTCCCACCTCCCTCCAGGTTCTCAGAAGCATGACATACATGGACAGTGGAACAGTGTTTTTTCTTCCACCCCCTCATCGCCAAATGATTTGTACTTGAGTAACTAAGTTACTCATGTCCCCCTAAGTAAAGTGTTACCAGCGGGAGTATAAAAATACTGTTTATAACAAGGGATGAGGAGTCTACAGGAGGTGAGATACAAATGCTGATCCCCTCATGAATAACATCATTTTGTGGCCTGGGTACAATTATCTCTTATAGGTAAACATCCAGTCAACTTGTGTCCAATGCAAGAGACCTGTCTCACAAAGAACCTAACTAACCAGAAAAATTGGTCCATCTATTACGTGCATGTTACAAAAAGTTTGCAGTGCAAATGTAATTTGTGAGGAATCAATTTAAAAGAAATCACAGAAAGAATATAATATGCTGTGGAAGGTCATTTCCTGTGACTGTGGCAAAGTAAGAGGCTTGTCATGGGAGGATCTCGATGTGCATGAAGATAATATGCCTGAAGAAACCTCATTTTTCAACAAGCGACACACTAGAATCCAAAGTAGGTATGGGATTAGCCCACATACGCTTTGTTATGAGTTAGTATGCTTCCTAGAGATCGGTGTAAATCCCACCATCCTCAAGTTGATGAGACATCTCACTGTAATCGCAATTGACGTTTTTCTTTCTTTTCTTTTTTGTAAATGATTGTTTTCTATTAACTCTCCACTATTTTCAGCTCCTTTTTATCCTTTTTCCTTGATATCCTCTTTGAACAATAGAGCAGAGGTAGCCAATCTTACCCAGAAAGGGCCGGTGTGTTTGCGGGTTTTCGCTGCAACTGCCTAATTAGATTACTAATTAGAGGATTGATTGGCTGAAGAGTGCTCACACGTGGGTTTGAACAGCTGACCTACAGGTTATCCCAAAAACCCGCATACACACCGGCCCTTTGTGGATAAGGTTGGCCACCCCTACAATAGAGGATTCTGGGTGATGGAAGAGGAGAGCTAAATGCTTTGGTAACACTCAACAGGGGCACCTGGGGACACACACTGCCCTGTGAACATGTGTAAACTGAACGGTGTCATGTGCATGACGCATTAATGTTAATTTTAGTTTTGTTTGAAAATTATTTAAGTTGAGAGTAATAAAACAGCAGCCATATCCCATGGAAGAATTTAGGTATTTTCAGGTGGGACAACGACAGGTGAAGAGCCCATCACATCAGCTGCATCTAATCTTCAACCAATACTATAAAATCAATGTCTGTTTACATGCCCTTGCATTATTGTCTGATCCAAGCTGTTAGCCTTCCTCAGGCCCAAACCCTATAGTTCCTAGCGTCTTTTTACTGTGCAGAAACCAAAAACCTTGTTTTCATTCCTCTCTCTCTCACTTTAATTAAACTCGTACCCTAACAGATGCCCTATTCTGTCCTCCAGTGCATGTGTCTTGTCATTCTACTCACTGTCCAGACCTAAGCAGTGGCCACAATTACATAAAATCAGTATAACTTGTAGAAATACCCCATTACCATGTACTAGACAGGCAACTGGATGATCGATGGATGGGTGAGCACTGGCATCCCAATCACATAAAATGAGAAAGTAAAATTTTTCTCCAGTTATACTATATATATATAGGACATAATCAGAAACACTTGCCAAGTAATTTATTAAAACTATTTGAATTTAAAATTCATAGTGTTTAGCTGAAACATCGTTCTGACCCCCAGTTACAGATTTGGCTCTATGCATGTCTACTGACAGTAATTCACCCTTATCGCCCCCTAGGGTTGCATAGCGGACAAGTTAAACACACAAAGTGATGAGGCACACCTGCCTCGTTCTGTTAGAATAATGGTTGAAGGTAAAATAAATACACCCATTTACCCAATACATACACATGCAATACTGAGTAAATCTACGTACGTGTTATGTGGTTTAAGACAGTAAAGTGAAAGCTGAGTGAGTGAAGGCCTTTGGCCTAACGCACATGGGGGGGGGGG